TCATTGCTTCAAAATATATCGAATACAACCTAGTGTCCCCAAGAGAAGAAAGGTTATAGATGTGTTGTGGTCTATCTGCGAGGTGCCTTTGTACCTTGTGTTCAAGATTGCTAATATTGACGTTTCTCTGTTCACAAGGAAGACGGTTACCAGTATATTATTTGTTGAAAAAAAAATCATATTGCAGATGGTTTAGACATTATTCTCCTAGTTTGGTTAAATAGAGCCAAAATGTGAACTGAGGTTATTTTTAGGTGCTGACATGAAAGTGAAGGTAAATATTTGCATCTATACTGACCTACCAAAGGCGAGTCTATGATCAGGAAGGTGGTTCTTCCAGGGTGAGGCTCAGCCAGATATGCTGCAGAGGTGCTCACCCCCATGAGGTCCCCAAGTGTGGCAAACTTGACTGTATAACTGGCAGTAGTGGTGGGGTTACCTTCATGCCCTCTTCTACTAAAAATAAGTTTTTTTAAAATCTATACTTTTAATTTTGTAGCTGTTTCTTTTTAATTTTTGCCCTAGATGAGTTAATGGTGCTGAAGAATTCATTGGTCTCTCCTTCTGGGAGGATGATACTCTCAGGTACCATTCACCTCCTCCTGGGCTTCTGACTTGTTTTGATTAATAAAATGTGAGAGGAGGTGACATGCACCGCCTATAAGCAACAGCTGGAAGACTTGTCTCTTGGCTTTGCCCTGTCTCTCTTTGTTCCATCACATGGGGGTTGCTTCATCAGCCATGAGTAAAGACAATCCAGAATAGAGCTGTGGGTGACCCCATAAAGGCCATGTTAAATAAGTAAGAAACAAATTTTTGTTAAGAGCCCTTGAGCTTTGGAAATTGTGTTACCACATCACAACTTATGCAAAGTAGCCCCTTATATTTCCATTGTTTTTCTGGACAGGATAATTTATAATTCCTATGAAAAGCAAGTTCTTATAATCTTTCCTTTCTTTTTTTGCTTAGCTGTTTCTGGGTTTTAAATCTGAATGTTATGTCACTCAGTGTAATACAAATGACACAGCACTTACAATTTTTGTGACCCCGCTAGTATCAAGGAAGAGACAGAAAAATTAGATGTGTGGCTCTCATAATACTGTTATTTCCAGCCACAGTATTTCTATTATTGAGTATAGAAATTGTTGCTGTTAGCTTTAGAACTAAATGGTCTTTCTTTGGTTTAGAATTTTGTTTAGGCAATTTTTAAAAATATGCCTTGATAGAGATGAAATAAGTTTCTTTTTAATCATGCAGTACTTCTTACATACTTGGCCCAGGGAGGTGACCCACATGGCGCAGGCAACCCCTCCTGTCTTGCCTGCTGCTCCCCTCAGCAGTGTATTTCAGTCAGTCTTCCTGTTCTGCTGCCCACTCTGTCTCTGGTGAATCCTCTTATTCCCCACCCCCACACCTTTGGCCTGTACCCCAGTTCTTGAATAAATAAATCTTAAAAGCAAAGCAAAACCAAACAAAATAGAAAAACAGGGCTTTTCCTGGTGGTGCAGTGGGTTAAAGGCACAGCACTGCAAGCTAGCCACAGCCACTTCATGCAGGTTCGATCCCCGGCTCTAGAGGTGGTCCACATGGTGCAGCAGACCTCTGCTGTCTTGCCAGCTCTTCCCCTCATCAGTGTACTTCATTGGTCGGCCTGTTCTGCTCCCCACTCTGGTGAACCCCCTCACCACCCTTGTGCATCTGGCCTCTACCCCAGTTTTGTATGCATAAATAAATATATCTTAAAAAAAATAGACTTACTTTTATAATGAGTATTGAAATAGAATAGGTGATTAAATATTGATAGGTTGGAATGATCTTTAAAAGTCATCATATTCAACCATAATTTAAAAAATTAATAAACCAACAATAGCCTCAAAAACAATTTTTGGAATGAATTAAAATCTCTTATCTTGCCTTCATTTTTGATATTATTTAAGATATTCCTAATTGTTACTCAGCCAAAATATTGTCCTTCATTACTTACAAGTTACCCTGAAAATGTCATATTAAATTAAAACAAAGACCAAGGTGTTAGCATTGGTGTTAATGAGAAAGTTGCAGTTGGATGCAGTTTAAGGGAAAAGAAGTCTAACAGAGGAAATGTTGGCCCTTGAGTAGCTTGGATTGAATTTATTTCCAAATGTATAACAGTTTAAAGCCTCATCCCTTGGGGCCCTCAAGCACTTCACAGAACCTCCACACTTTTGGCTCAAGTGTCAGTATATACTTGTAAAACATCTTACAAGTAGAAAGCAGAAAGCAAATTACTTCATCAGGGATCTGAGCCGTGTCTTTCTGTTGCTGGCATCAGAGCTTGGCATTGGAAATTTTCCTTATACTTATGTAATGACTACTTTCTTTAAACAAAAGGATTAGATGATCATCTATCAAGTGTTGGCTTCTTTTTCCTTTTGCCGATGCTAAATGAAATCTCATCTTGAGGCAACAGCTGATCTCTACTTCTGTAAACCCAAAGACTAACTTTGTTTCAAGAGAGAGCCTTCCAGGTTTGGGGCTTAAGTAAGTTTGTTTGTTTGTTTGTTTATACAGATTTATTTATTTATGCATACAGAATTAGGGTGCAGGCCAGAGGTGCAGGGGCGGTGAGAGGCTCACCAGAGACAGAGTGGGGAGCAGAACAGACAGAATGATGAAGCACACTGCTGAGGGGAGCAGCAGGCAAGATAGGAAAAATCTGCTGTGCTAAGTGGGTCACCTGTGGGGCCAGGGATTGAACTTGCACTGAAGCAGCTACAACTAGCTTGCAGTGCTGTGTCCTAACCTGTTGCACCACCAGGGAGGGCTTTTATTTATTTTTTAATGAGAAAAATATGGAAACTTTTTTCTCTTATTAATTTTTAATATTTTCACATTACTATTCATTTATGTACAGTATTTTAATTTTCTCTTGTCCCCCAAATATCCCACCACCACATCACCCGTCAACCATCACTGCAGTCCCTTGTGTTCTTCCTACCCCTATTTTGATCCTTTTTCCTCCCCTGCTTTCAGCCTCGGATCTACAGAGCTAACTTTTATTTTTCCTGTGGTGACAATGAAGTCAAAACCCTTAGGAATGTTCACAAATTCTAGACTCAGGAATCAAGGTTTGCCAGTTTATAGTTATTTGCTTTTTACTTGTCAGATGATTCTTTCAAATATTCTCTATAGCCATTAAAATCTTGATTAAATGTTGGCGAGGATGTGGAGAAAAAGGAACCCTCCTGCATTGCTGGTGGGAATGCAAACTAGTACAACCACTATGGAAAACTGTTTGGAGGTTCCTCA